TTAAGATTTAAAAAAAAAAGGGCAAAGTACAGCAAATATATTTAATGCCTTTGGGTTTCAGAGAAGCATTTGAAAAAATTTTCTAAAATTCTGATGCTACATTTTATTCTAATCAGGTATAGTGCCATGATATAATGAACATATACTGTGACAAAAACAAACTGTAAAAAAAGAAAACCTGTAAGATAAGATAAACAGCAGTAAATGAAGTTAAGAAGGGATTTCAGGAATGAGTATTGATCAGGTATTACTCAGAATCTTCATTAATGTCTAGGAAGAGAAATTAACACCACAGCAGTGAAGCCTGTAGATGACAGCAAATGTGAAAAACAGGACTACAGACAGATGAATAACAAACTAGTATCAGACACCAACAATGGGGAAAGAAAAACCAGGACAAGACTCAGAAGGGGGAACGTGTGTCCAGTACCATCCAAAACATCCTACTGATTTTATTTCTTTCTCACCATTGACTCCACATATCTGTTATTATACTCAACTGACAGATGTGGGAACTGGACCTCAGAGAGATAAAGGAACTTGCCCAAGATCTAACAATTATTGTATTTTTACACAATGCGTGTCATAAGGTATTTCTCCCCAACTGTGCCCCCCCCCCAGGTATTTTTGTAAGCATGTTATGCTAATTATAATTTTTTTTACAAGTTGCTGTAAAAAAAAATAGCACAGTGCCCTTATAGAAATATTTCGTTGCATGAGAGGGCACGACACACTGGTTGGCAAAAAATTTATAACAAGTGTTATTTTCATAAAAGTATGGTATATTTGGCAGAGCTGTAATCTGAACACAGGTTCATCTGACTCTAAAGTCCATTTTCTTTCTATAATATGTTGCCAGCCTTGGAACACTGACAGTGGGAGAGTGGGGATTTAGACCACAGATATTCAAGGAAAGGGAGAAATGTACAGAGAGATGATGATTAAAAAAGAAAGGGTTGACAATAGGCAATAAACCAAGTAACTTCACAATCTGACACAATGAGGAAGAAAATGTTACACCGCAGTCTAAATGATCAGAGCAGTGAATTTTTTTCCTATTTTCCTTCGCTCTGATGAAGTGTATCTTGACTACTGTGGAGTTGAGAGGGCTTCATTAAGAGACATTGACAAAGCAGAATTCTGCAAAGAGCACTGAGAGTCAAAGAATTTTAACGGGTATAAAGCTGGCTGGCTAAAGCCAGAAAGGCTTGGTGTCACATAAGCAGTTTTCAAATACGTAACTACCAGAAACAGGCCTTGTTCTCCAGCCAGGGTACTGCAACCCATGAAATTCAAGCAATGCAGCTAGATGTAACAGAATGAAGATGGATAAAGGAAAATGAAGATTCGAACTGCATATCCAAGACACTTTCTCAGATTCAAATTCAAAAGGCTAGGAAATAGCACTTTTAATTTTCTCCTTAAGCAGATTAGTTCAAGAGGTATTTAGAATGTAAGCTTTTTGAAGTCAACAGCCTTGCCTTTTTTTTTTTTTTTGCTGTGGATAGCAGCTAGCACACATCAGGTACTTGCATAAAACACTCAGTACTACAGAATCTCAAATCCAATCAGCTAAACACCAAAGCGCCAGTTACAGAACCACATTAACCAGCTACCAAATCCAAAACCAGTCCACCAGTGAGTCATTTTTTTTTCTTTTTAAATTTCTTGGATTCATATAAACCATACAAGTCACTTTATCAGAAACAGTAGTTAAGAAAACTACAATTCAAGGTGCCAAGCTTACCAGGAACTGTATCAGAGAGTACAAATACCACAATGAACACATTTGAGCTCTTCTGAAAGAAATAATAGCTGCAAGACACACTTACGTACATGAATATCTACATCCTTCATACCAAATCAGCAAAGGCCCTAGAGTTTCAAAAAGATACTGAAAAGGAGATCCGTGTAGAAGAAAGTGACAGTTCATCTTGAATATTGCTATCAAGATCAGTAAGGGAACAAATGTTGATCATTCAGAGAAAGATAAAATACTCTTGTCTTTATCTTAAAGGTAGCATTGGAGATACTAATGATGGCAGAGTTCCTAAGATCCATAAAACCACAAATCACTATGTATAAAAATGTCATCTATTAGGAAACACAATGACAGCCTAATACCCAGTGTGAAACTGTTTTTAATAATAAGCTGCTGACAGTGGTACATTTCGTAAGACATTTGAACCCGATAAAGGTCATTTGTGAACTGCAGTATTTCCTTTCTGGAATATTCTGGTCAAAGAAACAGCTATGTCCTTAAGCTCTGCTCATTGCTCAGATTCACGTGCCTCCACAGGATACCCACAAACAGGAAGAGAATCCACCAGCTCCTGGTGGATTCTCTACTCTTCAATTCTATAGCCAAGAAGACCTCCATTCATCTCCACTTACACTACTTTATGTTCTCAAACTGTGTAAAATGCAGGTACACAGAATATGGACTGCAAAAGGCTAAATACAACTTAAAAGAGGTTTTCTCTTTGAGGAGTGGAAATAAAATTTGAATGAAGTCTGCAAATAATCCAGAACTTACCTGCTTGGGGTCTGATGGGTAAAACTGTGCAGATTCTGGATGCTATAAAAGACAGAAAAATGGAATAAAGACTTATCTTCTCCTAACATGCTTATACTTGCCATTCCTTACATCTGTGATATAAAAAAGGAAAGCATGATCTCTATGCAAGGATCGGGAGCTCTGGTGGCACAGTGGTTAAAAGCATTCTTGCTGCTAATCAAAAGGCTGGTGATCTGAACCTGCCAGCCACTCCATGTGAGAAAGATGAGGCAGTCTGCTTCTGTATAGATTTACAGCCTAAGAAACCGTATGGGGCAGTTCTACTCTGTCCTATAAGGTCTCTACAAGTCAGAATTGACTCGATGGCAGTGGGTTTGGTGTTTTTTTTTTTGGAAGCAGAGACAAAGCAAGGGCTCTACACTTTGTGGCTCGAAGGTTAACGCATTCTCCTATGGTATGTATTCCCGCTTCATCTTCTTACCCCTGAGAGCACAAGCTTATTACTGGATCCTGAAGATTGTGAAGTTCACTAACTACTCCATCTGACAAATCTGGTTCACACAATACATATAACTAACCCACAGTTTCTTTAGCCTTTAAATAAGTGTTCTGTAGGCTACTTATAGATGAAGTCACACCATTACCTACCAGTTAGCAAAACAAATATTGAATAGATTCCCCACAACTTGCAAAAAGTCACCAATAAAAACTGACAGGCAGGCTAAGAAAAGGGATTGGTTCATCTAAGACTGACATCAGCTACCCCTTGAGTAAAACCTGGCAAAGACAGTGTTAAAGCAGCACAGAAACACAGTCCTTTAGATGAGAGGTTGAGAGGACTGCTCATGTCACAGATGCTGCAGGAAACAATTTGCAAAGGAGTATGGCTGCCTAAATTAAGTTTTCCCAGTATACCTAGGCTAATCCTCTACTTTTTCTTATTAAAAAATTAAAGAACTCTTCTATTTGTGAAGATGCACTGATCAAGTATAACCCTGTTGCCTAGTTTTACTTCTAATCCAAGATCATACCCTTAAAATAGAGTACACCTTGTTTCACATCTCAACACTAATTAGGGAGTAATTCTAGAATAAGGGGCCACAGGTTGACAGCCCAAAGACTGAATCCAGCCCAAAGACACATCGTGTTTGGCCTGCAAAAATGAAAAAGAAAAAAGTTACCAACATTTAAATATCAGATTTCTTGTTTCCCTTGACAACGGCGAGATCTGACAACACTTAGTCCACACTCACACACAGCAACGATGCACATGAGTGAACCGTTACAGGAGGCAGGCACTCTCCAGTTCACCTGTCACACTACTCTTAGCGGTATTACACCTCACCCTATTTACCCATTTATTATTTATATTTATTTATTTACCTATTTACATTACCTGCCTGCAGTCTCTACACTGACTTTGCAAATCCTGTTCTACCGAAAAGTTACCTGAATAAATAATAGTGTATGAGTTTGTCAGACAGAAATAGCACTGACTCTAAATGAGATGAGCAAGCAAGAGGAAGAGGAGGAGCCTGAGGAGGCCGGTGTAGGGAAAAAGGAGCAGGAAGGAAGTGAAAGGGTGAGGGAGGGGGAGAAGAAGAAACTGTGGGATTTCAAAGAGCTTACAGTCTAGCAGAGGAGAATTGAAGGATTTTGAAGCAACAAGCCAATGGATGCAAAACAAGAAGTGAAATATGTTGAAATGAAAAGGAAAGGTCATGACACAGTAGGATGGACTGAAAAGAAAGATCTCCAAAACTTCTGAGCAGGCGAGGTAATCGATCCAGATTGGAAGCAAGGAGGGAGATGGATGGGTCTTTTAGAGAAGAAATCTTTACGGGAAAAGAAAAAAGAGTGGAAACTAGCAGAGTCCAGACAGGCAGGGAATGATGAGATGAAGGAATGAGTAGCTAGAACGATTAGCTGGTTGGCTCAAATCGAACAAAAATACAGGGGAGCAGTGCTTGATCAATCGAGGTGTCAGACATGTGTACTTTTCTTCAGGCATTTATCTCATTTCCCCTCTACAACCTCATGCCCAGTGAGGGTCCCTGTGAAGAGAATTCCTTGTAGAGAAGATACTACTGCAATGGAGCATCTTCTGAAGCTAGCCTGAAGATCAAAAGCAATGTAATGGGCTGATGGCCAAGAATTAGTAAGTGCCTCCTCTGTGCCTTGTTTATGAGCAGATCAATCTGAGGGGTAGAAATGGGTGGCTTTTAAAAAGAAAGAAAGGAAAAAAGGAAAGACGATGGAAAAAGAAGCCCAGAGAAAAAAAGAGAAACAAACGCAGAGAGTAGGTCTGCTGGGAAGCACGGAGAGCATAAGCTACCAGCCACAGCCGGACAGAAGCGCCTCCCGTCCCCACGGATCCCGAGTCCCCTGTGCCCAGTGGTGGTCACCCTCAGCGGGCTCATTTCCGCAGCTGCCATTTCCCAATGAAGCCTCCAGTGGGCTCTGTGCTGCTGAACTTGCTTACCTGAGGCTTCTGAAAAGGGTTTCTCCTGGAAGTCTCAAAGGTGGGGTAAATTGGCCGGCTTGATGCCCTCTGGCCAGGATCTTGGCACACAAATCCTGAATGTAGGAGAAGCAACATTAAAACCTGCCATTCTCTAAGAAATTAGCAGGTTTCACTGCACCTTTTCTGCAGATGCAGAAACTCAGTGTCAGTGTCATACACATCACAGAGATCCAGCAACAAGAAAGGAAAATGTGTGGGTCAGTCAGCCTCACTGGCTGCTGGCTGAAATGCACTTCTGATTGGAAAAGAGATCTAGAATGTGAGTGAACTTCAGAGTACAAACCACTATTTTAACATACACAGTGCTTAGTAAAATTGAGTTATGTTAAAGTGGCTTCCCAGATGGTGACTAGAAAATAACGTTTTTCCTGGGAGAATCCTGTAGTGAGTGAGGGGTCTTATCCTGACGCATGCTCCACTTCTGGGATTGCTGATGGGGCTCTCTAAACGCAAGTTTCTAAGGAGGCTTTGTAGATGGCCTCTGGCTCAAGAATCTAGACTTGTGCTGTTTTCATTTACTTCCTAAAAAGATGCAGATTCTCATCCAAGGGAAAACGGAGAAGCTAAATAAACTGTACAGCATTTGCTGGTACACCAAGTACTAGTTCATCTCAAACATATTTCATGAGTTATTTTTAATGTTCTTTAAAAAACAACAAACCAACCAACCCCACAACATACCCACCTGACTGCTCATCTCAAAGTTTTGGCTTATCTGCTCAAAAAGGGATTTCTTCCTTGGGCTGCTCCAGCTATAACTACTACAGAAGGGATCAGACCAATGTTGAGACCAGTGAGACTGTCTAGCAGAAATGTAGCCAGTCTCCTTTATAACAAGGCTTCTTCAGTGAGTTTCACTTTCTCTGCTTGAAGGAAAATATACTTTCTCCAGACCTTTGCTTAATTCTATTCCTCAGCTTCTAATTCCTGTGCCCCAGGTCTCAGCCTTAGTTGTGATTCAGCCTCAGGACAGGATGGAGCCAAGAGTAGAAACATATAAATGCTTCCCTGAAAATACCATTTTTCAATACAAAACATTCAGCATGGCTCAGGAGCTGCCAGTTGGCAACGCCTACAGAGCAGGACAAAACTGATGCTCTGGTTAGCATTGATGTAAGTGGAGTTCCAAAAACATGCTACTCACCTACAACAGTGAACATATCTGAAATCATACTGGCTTTAATCTTGAGGTCCAGAGGTGTGTCACTAACAGAACAGAGTAAGAGAGTAAATGATAATATTGTAGGTTAACAGACTAGCTGCTTCCTAACAGGCTGGACTAGAGAGGGGTTTCCAAACATGCATGAGAAGGAACACATAAACCATTTCAAATCCATGGAAAAGGAAAAGATACACACAGGTAAATAGACTAGAAATAAAGCCGAGTGAGTGTTTAAGGTGTCCTCTACAAGGCAAGCACAGCACTAAGGCAGGGATTTCCTGGCATATTTCTTTTCCGGAAGGTCTTGTGCAATTCAGTTTTGCCCAAGTCCAAACACTGCTTCATTATCACTACGGACTTCAGAAGTTCAGACTTTTAATGTGCTCTTTTATGAGAGTGCTTGTCACTCAAATTATCTTTCACTGCTGCAACAGTCGAATCAAATTCACATACAAGGAAAGAAACTTTGTCTACTTCTTCTTTTATAAAGCTACATTTTCTGTTCTACTTCAATCTTCTTAGGCTTGCAAATGAGGGCAAAAAAACTACAAGTAATACTAAAACATCACAGACGACCCAGTAGGGGTCCACAAAGAGACAGAAACAACCCGGACAGAAGCCTCCCTCTGGCACTGACTGCCCACCCTGGCACCTAGGTTGAGCTGTTCCCCCACGAACCAGACCACTCTGGCTGCTGGAGCCCATGCATCATTCTGGAGATCTCTAACACTGCACGGTAAAACGTGAAAGCTGTGCCTGTGAACGTGGAAGCCTGTCAGGGAATATTTTCCACTAAAACAAGTGACAGAAAAGTGGTAAGACTGCATCCTGTCAAAGGTGGGAAACTTGCAAGGCCTGGAAAAACAAGACAGTCCCATCAAGTTCTAGCTCTCACATATTTCACTGTACAGTGCACCTTCCTGAGCAATCTGCAAAAGGATGACTTGATGGAAGTGTAGCATACATAATGTCTGAAGCATCGGTAATACCTTGCTTTACTCTTTTATTGAGGTAGTTAAGTCAAACTCCCACCCCATAAAGTTGTCCATCTGTCTTGATTTGATTACATGGCATTTTGCCAACATCTCTCATCCTTAAAAATTTAGTAGCTGGGTGGTCTTTGGCATAAATCTCCAGGCTTCTCTGTTTAGAAAAGTACATAGCTAATAGAAATTCTGGCTGTAGCTGTGAATGTAAGCAGATCTTCTCTGTTATTAAGAAATAGGTTCTATTCCTTCCTCTAAACAATAGGCTGGTTGGGAACATTTTTTTAAAATATTGTTTGAAATTTTTATACTTTAATCTTGGATGGATACCAGGATATGGGCAGGGCAAAAACTCCAATGTTATCAATGCTATACCTTCACAGCATGTATGGATACCTTTGGTAATAAAGGAAAATAATACCTTATGTATTTCTTTAAGCCTTAGCAAAAGACCTACAAAGTTTAAAAACATGAAACTGGGAATAAAAATGAATGTAAGAATCATCCCTTAGAAGCCCAGTGGACAGTAACCATATATTACAAACTGACTAAGAAGACAAGAGATCCGTCCTTGCCATTTAGACTTCGACAACATACCATAAGCACCCTATCCAAATTTAGACATTCTTGTCATATCTATGAACTAGGGGGAAAAAGATCTAGTACAAGAGACGTGAACCCCTAAGAAGTGTTTTAGTGTGACTCTTTGAAGGTCTATACTAGATCAAAGTAGATGAAAGTGACTTACCAGGCCAAAGAAGGAGAGAGATTTACTTCCAACAACCATGGCTTCAGAGTAGAATCTATGAGCACATCAAATCCATAGAGTTCTGGAAATACAACACATCACAATACACAGGATCATTTTCCATGTCCCAGTCTAAGAAAGATCTGGGAGAGTTAATCTCACCATTTCCTATTAGAGGCCTACACATTTGCTGTGTATAAGCAGTAAGTGGAAGTAGAAGCAGAGACTCTTTCAAATTCTGGAGAAGTTAAGGTTTCAGGGGTGATAAGAAAACAATGCTATAAAATTCCACTCTTTTCATCACTGTTGAACATCAATATTCTTGATGTTCTAGAGTTCTACACAGCGGACAAGGTGATGCTACAAGAGTTCACAGGCATGATTCCTCTGTACTTAGGGGTTAAAAATGTTGGGAAAAGGAATGAAGTCAGCACATCCTATTTCAGTGCTGCTTTGGGCTTATCTGGATTGTTCTCCCCATTATTCCCCAACCTCCCCTCCCCACTCTGAAAACAGAAAAGCAGAGGCAGCTCTCTTGGACCCCTCCATCACAATTTTCCCAAACCCAGACCTTGCTTTTGCAACCTAGGTCAAGAAGACACCTAAGGGTACAGTATATTCATTCTTTCTCCTCTCCTATGGTTTCAATTTCCATTTGAAGACAGAAAATAAAATACCCTGGCTCAACAGAGACAGAGAGACAGAAGAGAAAGGGGGAAGCCAGTGGTCGCAGAGAAGGAGGACAGTGACAAGCCATCTTGCACAATTAATATTATTAAAGAGGGGAGGGAGCTGGAAATCAAGTTTCCATGGCTTCTGGATTCTTCACTGTTTCCCTCCCTCTAGCTTCCTGTCTGTTGTAGGAAGCAAAATGAGAACCACAACAGCCTTTCTCCCAGAATGCCTTGTTTTATTTAACAAATTCAGGGATAAGAGGTTAACTTCAGAGTCTCTGGTGACCAATATCACTCTTAATATTATGATGAGCTCTCTACAGAAATCCCAGCAGCTCAGGAGGCCTCCTTAGTGTACATATGTCAAATACACAGACTCTCAGGAGTTCCACACACCCCAAAACATTCTACTCTTTTGTCTCTCAAATAAAATTTTTAGACCTCTTCTCCAACAGAGAAGACTACCTTTCCTGCAGACTGACCACAGGTCATTTGCTGGAGCTCATACCTATAACACACAACCAAGCATTCTCTAGAAATTCATTCTGAAACAAATCTCTTTACTTTAAGAAGGATGATTTTTCATTTCCTTATCTCCTTAACAACATAGAATACATGTAGCCTTCTAAAAAATGGCCCCAAAGCCTCTTTTAGAACACAGGAAATCTGAAGTTATATGAGGCAGTAGGAAGAAGCCTAGGCATCTAGTGACCTGGATCGTCCTTGGAACTCTGCCATTCATTCATTGTGGGACCTGGGGGATCATTTCTCTCTCTGAGCTCTCCTTCACATCCTCTGGTTTCCTTTACCCCCTATGAATCACTGATTTCCAGTACCTAGGATGCTCAGTAACCCAAGTCCTATTTATGCAATATAGATTCAAGTTGACACGCATATTCTAATGTCTTCCAGGGAAAAGTTTCCATGAATGACTTGACATCCATGGTAATTATTTAGCATTCTGTTTAATTTTCAAAAATCATCATAAATTATAAGAGCTTGAGATGGGCTTCACCTTCATGTAACTATATAAAAATCATGTAACTATATAAAAATCACATATTATCTATAAAATGTAAGGAGCTCTTTCCCCCATCTTCTTTTGGAAGCAAACGTATAACTTTTATGCCTCATACATTCTTCTGAACATTATATCAAATCTTCAATAATCCCACAGAATATACTCTCCCTAACCAGAGAAAAGTCTTTTGGGAGATAGCACTCAATAAAATAAGTAAAGGGAAAAACCTAGTTACAAAATTTACATCATTACATAAGAAAAAGGATACAAAGTGAGTCTGATACAAGAAAAATAACAGTGTCTTCCGTTTTTTACAAGCTAAAGCACAGGATTCAAATCTTTCATAAGGTGGCACGGTTACTCACAAGAACAGTATGAGGAGGAGGGTGGGAATACTGATTAATGCACCTGTTGAGGAGGCTGCAAATGAGCCCCAAGTGAAGACAATCTAGAATAACAATCAATGAGACTCACTTTTAAACACTTCACATTATTTAATCAGCACATTTATTTAACTGTTTCCCTATATCAGAACATGAATTGGAAGATTCTTAATTGACAGGTGGAGAACCTACACCTTCGAGAAGTAAAGGGGGAAAAAATGACCCAAAGAGAGAAAATACCTTTACAGTCCGTGGTAGTTAAGGTTATGTGACAACTTGGCTGGGTCTGGTTTTGAGTGGCTTGGCAGCTGGATGTAGTTATTCCCCATGATGAGACTGGTAATGAACTCCATGGTAGAATCTACTGGGAGCAGCTTAATAGCTGCCTCAGGGATGTAGCTTGCTTCTGCTATATAACAAGATGCTTTGAGAAAGGTCTCTAGCTTCCTGGCACATCTGGATCCTGCATTTGACCAAGTCATCAGTGAATGGCCTGCCATGCTGATCTTGGGACTGTTTCTGGACTTGAACTAGTGGTCTGCTTGATAATCTTGGGACTGTGCCATTTTACTTGTTGACCTTGGGCTTGTCAGCCTCAGTAGCCAGCAGTTGCCTCAGTTAAGAGAAGCCTCCAGCTTCAGTGGGCTGGGAGCAAGAGGCAGAGCTGAAGCCCAAGGTCAAGGGGCCTTCACCCAACCCCTAGAGATAGCATTCTGAACTCAGACTTCTAGCTTCCAAAACAGGAAGAAGATAAATCCCTGTTTGTTGAAGCCATTCACTTTTGGTATTTCTGTTAGAGTGGCACCAGATATCCAAAACACAGTCCCAACTTAATTTTTACTCTGGTGAATAAAATATGTCCAGGCTAACTAAACAATCTCTGTGGAGTGGGCCCCAACTACAAAATCAAGTCTCAAATCTAACTACATCTGTACACATGTGCCAGGGCTTGGCTCTACTAATACTTAAGAGTGGAAGAAGAAACATTCGTGTGTCTAGCACTACAACATACTGCAATCCTACATTTAAGGGGCTGGAGTTGGAGCAGAGGAATGAGGTGAAAAGATCAGCTAAGGAAATTCAATTTGGGTCACTGGCAAGTTAGTCAAGTCCTTACAATGATCCTCTAAACTTATGTACTCATGAAGAACCTGAATACACACCAAAAGGCAGTTATTCGAACAAAACGAGGAGATAATGAATGATTTAATACCAGTAACAGCGTGAGTCTGAGTTGTATCTTTTCATTATTTATTCAATCTGTATGCTGAGCAAATAATCCAAAAAGCTGGACTATATGAACAAGAAAGTGGCATCAGGTTGGAAGAAGACTCATTAAATCCTGCAATATGTAGATAGCACAACCTTGCTTGCTGAAAGAGAAGAGGACTTAAAGCATTTGCTGAGGAAGGTCAGACTCCAGCATTCAGTATGGATTACATCTCAATATAAAGAAAACAAAAATCCTCAAACTAGACCATAAGCAGCATCATGATAAAGGGAGAAAATATGGAGGTTGTCAAGGATTTCACTGTACTTGGATTCATAATCAATGCCCATGGAAGCAGGCAGTCAAGAAATCAAACAATCTGTTGCACTGGGCAAATCTACTGCAAAAGACCTCTCTAGAGTGCTAAAGAGCAAAGACGTCACTTTAAGGACTAAGATGCACCTAATCCAAGCCATAGTTATTTTCAATTGCCTCAAAGAATAAGGAAGAGTGAAGAACTGATGCAGTTGAATCATGGTGTTGGTGAAGAATACTGAATATACCATGGATTGCCAGAAGAATAAACAAATCTGTCTTGGAAGAGGTACAACCAGAATACTTCTTAGAAGCGAGGATGGTGAGACTCATGTACTCTGGACATGTTATCAGAAGGGACCAGTCCCTGCAGATGGGTATCATGCTTGATAAAGTACAGGGTTGGTGAAAAAGAGGAAGATCCACATCAAGATGGATTGACTCAGTGGCTCAAGCATACCAACAGTGATGGATTCAAGCACAGCAACAATTACAAAGATGGCGCAGAACCGGGAGGTGTTTCGTTCTACTGCACATGACCACTGTGAGTCGCAACTGACTTAATGGCACCTAACAAGAACAACGACAAAAACTTATGATTGGTCTTTTCTGTGTATATTAAAGATTTTAAAAGGTAAGTCAAAAAGAGTAGGTTGTCCTAAGAATATTAAACTTTCTCACCTTCTGATATTGTGATTTTAACACAAAAGCAGTGTAGAGAATTTCGAATCTTCAGTACCCAGGATGATAGTCCTTTCACTATCACTTGGGTGAAAACAAGGTAGGCTTTTCCAAGTTTGACTATTCCTGGGCCCCGGTGCCTCTCTCTTGGTCCCTCTGGGTTGTCTTTATCATGACAGTACAAAAAAAAAAAAACCCCAAACTCACTGCTGTTGAGTAGGATCCGACTCATAGAGACCCCTCCTCGGGTTTCCGAGGTGGTATTACTACAGAAGTAGATTGCCCAACCTTCCTTCCAAGGAATGGCTTGAACCTCCAGCCTTCTAGTTAGCAGTCGAATGCCTTAGGCACTATACCACCAGAGCTGCCATCATGACAGAAAAGCAAGTATTTTTGAAGGACTGTTGCTATCGCCTTATCCAATAACATTTCTCCAAGACAATTTTCTTGGTAAGAAATAGCACTTTCTTCAGCCCTCAGCCAAACCACAACAAATTTGAAAATTATACCAGTGAGTGGTAAAAGGTTTGACTCCACCTCCTAGTTATACTAGCACGATCATCTCCCTATTTTTGTAATGCATCTTCTTGAAAAAGCAATCAACACTTAGCTCTTAACTTTCTTAAAATCTATACACTCCCTAACCCATAAGAATTTGCTTCTGCTCCCACTCTTTAATCCTTGGCTCGATTCACTATGCTCACTGAAGATGGCCTTACTACTAAGCCCAAGCATCTGAACTGTTGACCACCCCTTGCTTATTGAAACTTTCTCCTCCTTTGAGTTCCAGGACACTGC